AAAAAAAAAAAAAAACCCTCATGTATATATATACTATACTCCAAGAAGTTGTTGCTCCATTTCTGTAGTATATTGGCCCCTCCAAGGCCACTTCTACCACAAAAGTGCTATTAATCTTCCACACACCTGCAATTAACTCTCTCTCTCTCTCTCTCTCTCTCTCTCTCTCTCTAAAATATTCTCCTACTCAAGTATAATATTAGGTCATTAACTAGTTTATTTTTTCAATGAAGCCTTGGCTACCCATAATTAGTTCATTAACTAGTTTATATTAGGTCTCTCTCCCTCTCTAAAATATTCTCCTACCCATATAGGAAAAAGCCAAGAATGTTTCATTACCTTTCTCTCCGATGAAGCCTTGGCGTCTCTTGTTCTTTTTAGTAGATTGGCCAATGCAGCAGAGGGAATCAATGTTTGCCTTAGAAAAACCCACCTCATTGTTAAATACCAACAGAGTCGCCGGATCGCCGGTGCCGGTTACATCAGTGGTCGTAAACACGAGCTCCAACGTCGGCTTAACATCAGGCAAATATTCATTGTCTTCGGCATTCTAAGATCACCAAAGCACAGACCCATAAAAAAAACAACTACTTAAGCACCATTCGCACATCAAACAGGTTCAGAACACTGTAAATGTGAAGAAAGAAGAGGGAGGGAGAGAACCTGAATTAGCTCCATAAGAAAATGGACATCTTTGGTGTAGAGCTCAGAGGAGAGGTTGGTGACAGCGTTGTGAAGATCAGCAGTTAAAGTGTTTGCTCGTTTTTCACGTATTGAGAATTTCTCTTTTCTTATGGATTCGACGTGAAGCCTTGCTGCCTCAGTTCTCTCTTTCATGCTACTGGAGGCCATTACTGACTAGTTGTAACTTCAGTTCCACTTCCTAGAGATCAGGTGGTATGATCCTTTAGCAGACAATAAGAGAAAAAAATGAAAGAGAGTGGGGGGAGAAGAAGAACTGACGGCGTGGAGGTGAATTGTATTTGCAGGTTCTTTATTACAGGCATGCATTGCATTTGTGAAAAAGATTTTGGAGTCGCTTCAGAGGATCTTGAAACGACAGCTGATGGATTAAATCCTCTACACTAGGAGGTATGTGTATCAGCTGCAAACTCGCCTGGATCACCGTTGATCCTTGTAATTGGGGCCTGGGGACTCTCTTTTACTGAATTTTTTTAATTTTTATAACCAAAATATGTAATTCTTAACTCAAAGTATCCTTATTTTTAAAAATTCGTAACTATACTTTCGAAGTACCCTTATTTTTTAAGGATTTCCTGAAAAATCTGTTCTGTAAATGTATTTTAATATTAAAAAGTGAATTTAAAGTATAGTTTTAATACTGTTATGATAGTTTATGAAATAAGTTTAAAATTGTAATATTTAAGTAAAAAAAATTAAAATAATTGATTGGAAGGAAAGAACATAATGGATTAGTAAGCTAAGATGAATGGCATTTCGGTTTTAAGGAAAGATAAATCTTCAATCTTACTTGTGGAATGGTAGCTTTATTTCTTGACACTTCCTATTCTAGTTGAGTAAGAAAATCCTTATAGCAACTAGTTTGTCGCTTTTTCATAATGAAAAATATATTGTTTTGATAAGGAAAAAAGTTTTGATCTCACTCATATGAGTGGAAAAAATTTTTTTAATGTAAAATTTCAGATTTTGACGATCAGTTGCACATCAGAGGCTTGATGTTATATTTGACCTACACCATGCAGTTATTATATAATCTATCATACACTTTCTTAAAATAAAAACAAATTCTTATTCTAAAAAGAAAGGTTTTATCACTCAATTCTACACTTTGCTTGCTTCAGTTACATCCTATCCTTTAACAACTAAGTTAAGTTTAGCAACAGCAGCGTCAATTAAGGCTCTTCCTGAAAGAGATATATGTGGAATGATTCCAATCCCTTTTGTTTTGGGAGGGACTTACATTGGTTTTGGTCAGCAGAGTGACCCTCCACTCAGCCAATCTTCTCCATTCTTCCACTCCGTCCCAAAGAATAACTGGACCAATTTAGTTGCATTTTCATGTTTCAGTTAAATACTTTTTATTTTTCTTTCGAATGTCAGTTTCCAATTTTCAATCAACAATGAATAAATCTATAGGACATACACGAACACATACTTCACAACAATGCATTTATCCAACTCAATGTGGATTCGGTCATTGAAACACTCTAATATTATCAATTTTTCATAGAAGTATTGAATAGTTAAAGATAAATGATTCATGTACAAATATAAGGTTTGAGGGCAAATTCCACTTTCTCATCCAATGGGTAAGCATGTTCAATAGGTTAAGAGGTTGCCTTTAAGTAAAGAGGGGCCCACATCCAATAAGATTTAAACTTATACCAAAGGTTTAGAAGATTTATGTCCTGTTCATTAGACAGTAGACGCTTTTCATTTCATTTTTTTTTTGTACTTTTATTTTACTACACTACGCCAGTTTAAGGCTGTTATGATTGTTTATAAAATAAGTTCAAGATTGTAGTATATAAAAAGGTCATTGTGTGTTTAAAAACTTTGAATGCAATCCTTGTGTTGGTGGGGGGTTGGGTAATTATTGTATATTTATTATCTATTTTACCCTCATCATATAATTTTAGCCTAAATTTGAAAGATGTGCGTAATATATGAAGTGATTGAAGGGTCTAGGGTAAGCCATGGTTGTGACGAGAATTGTGATAAAAAAATGAGAGTGGTGGTGGAGGATCAGTTTTCCTAATTCTACCCTTTTCTGATGTCTAGTTTGTAGAGTTTCACGGTGATTTGAGCAAATTATGATGATCTTGCTATCGTCACTAGTCTTGGAATGATAAATGGTAGAAGTTACATGTTCATGGGTCATCATAAGGGTATAAATACAAAGGAGTACATTCAATGCAACTTTGGGATGCCTACCTCTCATAGATATGTATTTGGGGCGGATGAAATCCTTAACTTAAATTGTGTACGATTTTATGTACTTGTATACCGGTAATGACACATATATGTAACTTCTTCTCAATTAAATACTGATGTACCTATCTCATAGATATATTTATTCGTATAATGTAATGAATAATCGTGTTTGTTGTTTGTCGTATATGATATATTGTGTGTTTATGGAGAAGATTAGTGTACTTATTTGACGATTATTGTGCACTTATCTGACTATTAGTGTATATGTCTGACCATTTGTGTTTATGGAGAATAAGATACATTATGATAACGTAACTTTCTAGAATATTTATTTAAATTAGATGATGATATTGTCATTATTTTTTGTAATTTTAAAGAGTATTATTTATGTCCATTACTTTTACTATTCAACGGAGACCTAATCTTAAAAGAAATTGATGAGTGGTTTTTTTTTAGAATTATATTGGCCTAGGGACCGACCTCCAAAAAAAAAACTCAAAAAAGAAAAGGAAAAATAGTGGAAGAATCCTCAAAGCATGATAACAAGGCCAAAATAACAAACACAAATGGCTTCAGCCCTAGCTTGCTGGACCAAACCCATGGGGTAATTGATTCCATCGCACCATTTAATAAAGTCCTCATTGGGCTGGACTTTTTCTCATTCATGAAAAAGGCAAAACCCGAACCCAACCCAAGGAGTGAAGCATCACTTACCAAAATATTTATCTGAGTTTACTTACTAAATCAATACTGATAGTTGGATGTAGGGGCGAAATCAGGATTTTATTTTAATAGAGGTCAAAATGATGGCATATACAAAAAAATTGTCTAATGGTATTATTCAACAATTATAGTCAACAACAAATTTCGATTTATAAAGAACCTATTAAAATCAATTTTATACAATGTCATCGTAAAAATTAAATTTTGGCTGTTACAATAATAAAAATTAGAGTAATGCTATTTAAACTTTATTTTTTGTCATTAGATTGACAATGACCCCATTATTATTTAGGACTCGTTATCAATTCAATAACTATAATGCATTAAGTTAGTAAATTAGGTTCAAATAATATTTTTCTAAAATTAATTTGTGACAATATACCGCCCCCTTTTTCCTTATTTATAATATAATTTTATGGCTATAAATAAATTACCCTCGTAAATTATAGTTCCACATAATATATTGCTTAAGATATAATTCACATTTGTAACTCAATTTTGAAAATTTTACTTGTGTTTTTACCTCTAGTTTTCAAGATCATCCAAACAGTGTCTTATTCAGTGAGCACTTGTGCATGTGATTAGATAAAGAATTCCTTAACCAGTAAATTAAATAAATTTTCCTACCGCGTCTTACGATAAAAATAAAAATGTTGAATAAATAAAAGGATTATGAAATAACTTTTTATAATGGATCTTACACTGCATGAATAAAGGTACCTCCATCAATCTTAACCATTGATTTTAAATTAGATGATGTGAAATTATTGATTGAAAGGATAATAAAGTAACAAAAATAAAAAAATATAGAAATTCTAGGTGTAATTTATTTTTATTGAATGAAAATAAATTAAAAAGGGTTACATATACTCTATAATTTAAAAAAAGTTGATCACTGTTGATAAAACTTTCTAGAATGATGACCATCAATCACCATTGGAAAGTTCAACCTATCTTTTTTACTCAAGAGTCAATCTCCAGCCCCATGTAGTTCATGTATTTAATTTACCACCTTTACTTTTCTGTCCCCAGCTTTAACCACATGACCATGTACCCAAAAAAAGGAGAAAGAAACCGCGTTGCTGACCNGAAAAGGTAAAACCCGAACCCAACCCAAGGAGTGAAGCTTCACTTACCAAAATATTTATCTGAGTTTACTTACTAAATCAATACTGATAGTTGGATGTAGGGGCGAAATCAGGATTTTATTTTAAGAGAGGTCAAAATGATGGCATATACAAAAAAATTGTCTAATGGTATTATTCAACAATTATAGTCAACAACAAATTTCGATTTATAAAGAACCTATTAAAATCAATTTTATACAATGTCATCGTAAAAATTAAATTTTGGCTGTTACAATAATAAAAATTAGAGTAATGCTATTTAAACTTTATTTTTTGTCATTAGATTGACAATGACCCCATTATTATTTAGGACTCGCTATCAATTCAATAACTATAATGCATTAAGTTAGTAAATTAGGTTCAAATAATATTTTTCTAAAATTAATTTGTGACAATATACCGCCCCCTTTTTCCTTATTTATAATATAATTTTATGGCTATAAATAAATTACCCTCGTAAATTATAGTTCCACATAATATATTGCTTAAGATATAATTCACATTTGTAACTCAATTTTGAAAATTTTACTTGTGTTTTTACCTCTAGTTTTCAAGATCATCCAAACAGTGTCTTATTCAGTGAGCACTTGTGCATGTGATTAGATAAAGAATTCCTTAACCAGTAAATTAAATAAATTTTCCTACCGCGTCTTACGATAAAAATAAAAATGTTGAATAAATAAAAGGATTATGAAATAACTTTTTATAATGGATCTTACACTGCATGAATAAAGGTACCTCCATCAATCTTAACCATTGATTTTAAATTAGATGATGTGAAATTATTGATTGAAAGGATAATAAAGTAACAAAAATAAAAAAATATAGAAATTCTAGGTGTAATTTATTTTTATTGAATGAAAATAAATTAAAAAGGGTTACATATACTCTATAATTTAAAAAAAGTTGATC